GAGGGGCTGGAAGGACATTTGGAAACTACTGAGGGGGGAGCCCGGCTGGGGATCGAAGGCAAAGCAAGAGGGAAACTTTGGAGGGGGGCGGGGAAGACGACGAGGAGAAGAATAAGTTGGGGGGGGACACATAACTGAAAGACCCCCACCCACACACAGCCAAATACACAAAAGTGAAAGGGGAGTTCAATTATGAAAAGAAGGCGATTAGGAACGAGAGAGTGATCGTTTTGGGGAGGGGACTCAACAAGAACCCCACCCGCCCCACGCTCTTTACTCACCCAGGTCGTCCATGTTGCCGCCGCCGCCGCCACAGCTGCCGACTGGAGGCACCGCAACTTTCCTGGAGCTCCGGAGAGGCAGACGCGCGCGCACAGCCCGGCGTTGGTTTAACCCCCCCCCCAGGCCCGCCCCCGTTACGCGGGAGCGAGCGGCAGGCGCGCCCCCTCCACCACTCCCCCCCCCAAGCGCGCAGAAAGCGCTATCTCCCTCTAGTGGCTATCGTGTGCGTGTGTGTGAACCGGGGACGGCCAACAGATGTTTTCGTACGTGTGCGTATTTGGGAAATTCTCGGGGGAAGGAAGCCTCTGTGTGCGTGCACAGTCTGTTGAAATAGGTCGAAATGGGTAGTCGAGTTAGTCTTGTCCGCAGCAGGAAAGCGCAAGAGTCCGGTAGCCGCTTCAAGACTAACAAAATTTGTGGCAGGGTAGGAGCTTTCCGGAGTCACTCCTCACTTCTGCCACAAAGCTTGTTAGTCTTTAAGGTGCTGCTGGACTCTTGCTCTTTTCTACTTTTGTAATAGGGTTACCCATGCCCCGGTTCCTGCCGGAGCGAGCCAGTCAGGAGCCCAGGGGGTGGGAATATAAGCCCCGCCCCTCCTCAGCCATCAGTTGGGCAACCCTGTGTGTGTGTGTGTGTGAGAGAGGGGGGGGGAACGTTCCCGCCTCCCTAAGCCCCGTGGTGGTGGCCTTGTAGGGGCAAATTCCACCTCTACATCATACTGACTCCCCCAGCTCTCCTTCAGAGCTCTTTAAAAAGTTATGGCCAGGAGGGGGAACTTCTCCTGCCTCCCTGAGCCCTGGGGTGGTGGCCTTGGACTCATAGTGGCAAATTCCACATCTGGCGCTGAGCGGCAACGCCCCTCGCCACGCAAGAGGTCATTCTGGCTCCCCCAGCTCTCCTTCGGGCTCTTAAAAAAGTTATGGCCACAGCAGCCGCTGTTCTTGGCGGCAGCTGCAACGCCCGTGGGGGGGGGGGACGTTCTCCTGAGCCCCAGGGTGGTGGCCTTGGACTCATAGGGGCAAATAAATTAATAAATAATAAATAAATTCCACCACACGGAAGAGGTCATTCTGGCTCCCCCAGCTCTCCTTCGGGGCTCCTTCAAAAGTTATGGCCGCCACCGCTGTTCTCGGCGGCAGGTGCAACGCTGGCGGGGGGGCGGGGCGAAACGTTCTCCTCCCTCCCTGAGCCCCGTGGTGGTGGCCTTGGACTCGTAGGGGCAAATTCCACCTCTCGTGTGCCCTCCCCGCCCTTTCCAGGCTCAGCGCCGGAGCACAGGGCCTGAAAAACGGCCTACACAGCCGCCGCCCCTCCTTTTTCAGGCTCTGCACTAATGCCGGCCTGAAAAAGTACCAGCGGAATGTCAATTTTGGCCCCATTATATCCTATGGGCCATTGAAGTCAGTGGCGAAAACATAGGGTATATTCTGGGGGCTGGAGAAGAGGGGGTTTGAGGGAGAGGCTCCAAACTCGCAGGGTAGCTGCTGGAGCCTTTCCCAAGATACCCACCATGTTTCAGGAACATTGAATCAGGGGGGTACAATTCTACGGGCCCCCAAACAGGTTGCCCCCATCCCCTCCATTGTTCTCTATAACAATGTTCACCATAGAGAACAATGGAGGGGATGGGCAAACCACCTATGAACATCTCTTCCCTTGAAAACCCTATGGGGTGGCTATAAGTCAGCTGTGGCTTGACAGCACTTTCTTCCACCAGCAAGCTAACCAGCCAGTCATAGCTGATCTTAAAGCAAAGATTCCCACATTAACAGATGATGATAACAAGGAAATGGATGAAGGGATAACTTTGCAAGAAGTAGCGATGGCCATTTGGAATCTTAAACTGAATGCAATGTCTAGATCCAGTGGTTTCACTCTGAGTTTTATAAGAACTTTTTGCAAATAATACAGGTACCCCTACTGCATGCCATAAATTATGTTTTTGAATCCAAACATCTTCCTAAAACATGGGCAGACTAGATAGTAGAATTGTGGAGATTACTACTCCTTCGAACCTTAGTAAACTTGTAGCATCCCATTGAATTTAGATTACAAAATCTTGACACCTGTACTAGCAAACAATTTGAAGGGTGTAATTAGTGAATATATATTATCTGGCCAGACTGACTTCATACCTGGTCAACCTATTACTACAGAGGTACTAGAGATTATTAACATGATTGAGGTTGTTAATAAGGAAGTCAGTTTTCTTGTTTCTAGAGGCTGAACAAGCATTTGAGAGAATGTAAGACAGATTTTTGCTCGAGTCTCTTATGGCCTTGGGTTCTGGCGGCAACTTTGTAAGATGGGCAAATCTGATCTGATATACTCACAATCTTTTACTGGTCAGCAAAAATGGGTGTCTGTCTCCACAAATAAACATCACAAGAAGCTAGATTCCAGTGGGGTAGCCATGTTGGTCTGAAACAGCAGAACAAAGTTTGAGTCCAGTGGCACCTTTAAGACCAACAAAGTTTATTCAAGGTATGAGGTTTCCGTTTGCACGCACACTTCAGATACAGTGAAATGGAAGTTACCAGTCCAACTTACCTATATGTATGGGCTGGTAACTTCTGTTTCATTGTATCTGAAGACGTGTGCATGCACACCAAAGCTTATACCTTGAATAAAACTTTGTTGGTATTAAAGGTGCCACTGGACTCTAACTTTGTTCTATCACATGAGGAGTTCATCAAGCCTACCTTCTTTTTGGTCATCTTTCCATTATCTGGTTGGAATTATTACTAGTTATGGTGAGGGAGGAGATGAAAATTCAGGGAGTTAAGGTGGATTTATCCTATTACAAAGTTGGTCTGTATGACATGGTTATCTTTTCAAGAGATACCAAGTCATCTGGTAAAGAACTGGAGACCCTTGTTCTGCAGTATGACAGCACCTCAGGATGTAACTTGAGTGCAGATAAAACTGAGGTTGTCTGTTTCAATACAGACTTGAATGAATCCAAAGAGGATGTCCGTTTTCTCTAAGATGCCATACGGGTCGGGTTTGAGGGACCACGCCAGGATGATGCTCTCATCTGAAATTTGGGTCAGGTGTTCTCTCAGAGATGGGTCTCTCTATGGAGTTCTCTCTCTCACTCCGCTGACAACCCATGGAGGGCCGATTTTCGAGTCGGGTTATAACACCCAGCCCAGTGGTCATCTGACCTCTCCATCCTTCTTCCTCGAGTGCACCTGTGTTTCCTTTATTTCAGTGAGTTTACAAGCATCTTCCCCGCGTGCTCCCCACACCCAGTTCTTAAAGCACCGACACCATTCATCTATCTTTCTGACCTCCCCCCACCGGACTGTCGGACTGCCACCCAAGGGTCGTTCTACTATTTCCTTGTCGGCGACCCCAGTGGGTAGTTGTTCCCTGTTTCCCTCCCTGGGGGGATATCCCTCCTCTATTTGGATATTTGCCCAAGATCCCTGCTCCTCCGGGAAAGGGGCGCTGACTATCTCCCCCTGCTTCTCTCCTACTAAGGGGGATGCCTCCCGCATAGTCGGGGGGCCGCTGACACCGCCCTCCCGACAGAGGATAACTAGGTTTTGGGTACAAATACAACAGATCAAAACAAGTATTTGGGTATTCGGTTAGCTAAGAAGAATAAAGGTCATTATAGAATTAATTGTGATCCAATAATAGCTGGACAAAAGTAATGTCACACTCTGGAAAACCCCACACCTATCCTTTCTGTGATGTGTAAATGCAATAATGATGGTTCTTCTCAGGTTAAACTTTCTTTTTTGCAATTTACCATCTGAAATTCCTGATAAGGTATTAAAAGATTAGCAGCAACTGTTCAATTCTTTTATTTGAGATTAAAAAGAGACCTAGGATCTGTTGGAGCAATGCCTATGATAAAAAAGATAAATTGTGGCCTAGGGATACCTAACCTCAAATATACTACCAAAATGCCAGATTAAGCTGGATGGGAAAAAACAACGATAATAGATACAGATGAAAGAATGCCATCTTGTATTGAACAATATTTTGTTTAAGCTCCCATGAAAATATGGGTCTGAGTGAAGAAAACAAATAGGAAAATATTACTACAATTATAACATAGTGATAAACAGGACCATTATGTTATGAGACATGGGAGTCTGTTTCAATCCACTTCAGTGACCATTTGCAAGTGGATGGCCCCAGTCACACGAGAGGGAAAAGCTGCGGGGGAAGTGCGGCTTTTTAGAGCCGCAACAAACAGAAGCACGGCAGTGGGATCAGACAGGTCCCCCGAGACTCTGCGCTTCTGCCGGCAGCCACAATCACATACTACAGGGGAAGCGATGCTAAGAAGGGTGAGGAGGGCCAACTGCAGCAGTTGTGCGCATGCGCAGTTCGCCATTGCCACGCATACCATGGGATAACCGCGTGTCGGCGATCCCACGGCCGCCGGTGCTGCACGTCATCCGGTAGGTACTGCCCTTTCATTAGTCTCTTTTAGATCTGCATCTTCAGCCAGAAGCTACGGGTTAGGGGCGGGTGTGCAACGCTTGCCAGATGTTGGATCGTGCAGGTTTAATCCGCCCTCAATCCGTCCGTTTCACAGGGCAAATCCTCCTGTGTGACCGGGGCCAATGTTGCCACTTCACACAGTAAAACCCAGTTGCAAAGTGGATTGAAGTGCGTTATTTAGTGTGTGTGAAAGAGACCTGGCAGAGTATATGCCCAAAGGAACCTTAGCTGAATGGAAATATCCTGAACCATGGGTGAAGAGCCAGGAGTGCATGTTTGCAGCTGCAATCCTGAGGATCCTTTCTTCAGGGTAAGCCACAATGAATAACATGGGCCTCACTTCTGAGTAGACCTCCTAAGGTCCCTCCCCGTGTCAGGCTTTCCATTGCACAGGGAGGTGTCTCTGTTCAGGGTTTCTCACCTAATTTGCAGGTGAGCTTAGAGGGGAGGGGGCTCGAGACGCTTGATCCAGGAGCAGTTCCCATCCCAGCAGTAGAGACAGATGTGCAGCCATGTGGCCAGACAGAAACAAAACTGTTCTGTGCAGGACAACAAAATTTCAGTTCCTGCCATGGTCTTTCAGGCCTATAGTAGCAACAGGAAGGAGCCCCTGTGGGAGA